CCGCCTGAGCTGCGTCTTCCGCAGACACACTGCCCTCGCCTCTGCGGTGCTGGAAGTGCCTGAAGCCAGGCCCAAAAGAGCCCCATAGGGGTATGAGAGTGTGTGGGTGACACCAAAAACAGCGTACCCCCAACACGGCCCAGGCCTTGGCCACGGGGCTGGGGGAGGAGCAGGTGTCTGGGGCTGGGACATGTGTCCTCCAAGGAATGGTCTATAGAGATCAGAAGGGCTGAACTTAGAAGGGATGCAGCGCGTTGGGTGGGGAAAGAAGCCTGCGACATTCAAGGGGAAGCTCCTTGCGGGACACAAAGCCTCCACCCCACCTGGCTTCTCAGAGGAAGGGGAATAAGGGCTGAGGATGGTTGGTTCAGGCCCTGTCCAGTGTGACCATGCTGGGCCTGTAGCTGTTCCCACATCCTGCCCAATGAGGGGCCGAGACTCTAAGACTGAGGACAGACCCCCAGCAGCCCACTGGAGCAGCCCTCTGGAGGGACTGCCTGGTGGGCCAGGTGGCTTGCATCCTGGGATCTTTGCTAGACCAGACTAGAGGTGGCTGGCTGCCAGGGACACCCTGAGGGACACTCAGCCCCCAGGGCAGATTCCTTGCCCTTAGGGAGGCAGTTCAGCATCCCTGGGCAGGAATTGAGGTCCAGGAGAGCCTCGCCCCCCTCACTCCTAAGATTCCTTCTGGTGGGGTAACCACTGCCCTCTCCCAACCACTCCTTTCTGCTTAGCTGGGGAGGGGCACAGTTCCCGCAGGGTGAGGCAGCAGGGCCATCTCTGCCAGGATGTCCCCTCCCTTTCCCCCTCCCCAGGAGGACGGATGGGACTCAATGGTTTTCCTTCCTCCCTTTCTGGCAGGTGAGACGCCGGGCTTTGAGACAGGCTGACTTTGCCTAAAAAAGGAAGCGGCTCAGCTGAGCCTGAGGAGCTGGGGCAGGAACAAGCGAGAACTGTGTCCCCGCCGCCCCCACCCCCTTGCCGGGAATCTTGGCAGTGGCAGTGCTGGCTCAGCTCCACAGACCTCAGGCCTTGGCTGGGACCAGAAGCTGCCTGGTGCTTCCGCCTGGTTGCTGAGGGGGCAGCAATGGGCTTGAACCCCCAAAGTTCAGGGTGTACTGCCCTGGGGACCTTGCTCGCCTGGCCCTCAGCCCTCCAGCACACATGGCTGACCAGGGCTGCTGCGGGGAGGGACTGTGAGCTGAGCGAGGCCATGATGCTGCAGCACCAGCAGCATCTTGAGACCTGGGGGCCCGGCGGGGAGCCCACCCAGGTAGATACGTGCCAGCACGTCTTGGCTCATCTTCCATCTCGCTGGGCACCCACCTGCCCCAGGCAGGGAGCCGGGCCATGCTGAGTCTGCCCTGTGGCATCCCCAGTCCTGTCCAGAGGGTGAGCCCACAGTCACACCTCAGCTTTGCTGCGGGGTTGACGGGGACGTTTCCGTCCCTTCTGGAAAAATTGAGCTGCTCTTCTTGGCCATGATGCAAGCCCTCGAGGAAGCAGCCATCCTCCTTCCTCCAGCCTCTCCATCCGAGGGACAAAGGATGGGAGGCCCAGCCTTGGCTGACAGTTCCTCCTCACCTCTGCCCAGGATCACTCCCAGCACTCACACTGAACTCTGGCCTGACCCCTGGGAGACCACCCCAGCCCCATCTGCTCAGCACTGCTCTCCCAGTCCCCCACACTACTCCTGTCTCCAGGATCAGCCCCTGAGGGAGACACGGGCCGATGGAGGGTCCCCAGGGAAGATGGGGGTCAGCGAGGGATGGAGTGGTCAGGGCTAGGGCTGGGCTTGAGGCAGACGCCAGAGGAAGTACAAATATAATGGCCCGGAAACCTCCTCTCTGAAGGAAGACAGGCCTGGGGGCGGCAGGGAGCAGAGAAGGACTGGGCAGCCAGGGCACAGCGTGCTCTGGGCCCAGCCCTCCACCTCCCCTGGGCCCAGAGTCTGCCTGGGCCTGGTGTCTGTGGGACCAGGAGGAAGGAGCAGCCTGTGTGCCAGAGGTGGCCCACCCCCGCCCCTGTGGCCTGGGCCCTAAGCATCACTTCCTGGAGCTGGCCCACGCTGTCTGTTGGTCTGCAGGCAGGTGGACAGGGTTCCACGAAACCCAGGGAGATGGCTCTCCAAGGCACTGCCCCTGCCCACCGCTGGTCCGCGGGAACGCGCCCTCCTCCGCTCCACCCAGGCCTCTGCAGAGAAGAAAGGCCTTTTGTCCCCAGCTTGCTATGGTCATGTTGACCCCAGGGTAAAGGCCAGCTCCCCAGGCCTCCGACCCCACCCGCGACCCCGGCTGAGGTCACTCTGCTAGGCCTGAGGGGGCAGAGCAGCCTGGCCCCTCCCTACCCCCTGGGGGTGCCTGTACTGTGGTTCTTGTCAATTGTATCTCCCCCACCACCCATATACATGCCAGGGGACACAGAGGCTGGAAGTCAGAGGTGTGGGCGAGCCCAAGGACCCTGACCCAGCCCCACAACAGTAAGCGGGGCAGAAGAAAGGGGTGGCCAAGAGCAGCAGGGCTCAGAGGCCCCTGCCACCACCCACCCAGCTGCCCCACCCACGCATTCTTCTAGACTCAACCTGCCCGTTTGTGGTCAGGGACATGCCAGGGCCAGAGGGCCAGTCCTAGGAGTCTGGAGGGCGCATTGTCCCATCCTCTTTGGCCCCAGAGCTGATCCCCACCCAGTCCTTCTGCTGGCAACAGCCAGGGCGGCAGGAAAGATGGCCGATGGGGTGGGTGGCCTGGGCACGGGGGCGGGGGGAGGGTGCCAACCCGTCTGCATTCTGCCGTCATCTCCATGCTGGGCCAGCCACATGACAGATTCTGCACTGGGGACATGCGGAGCTGGAAGGGGGAAGGGCAGTGGTGAGTTTGCAGAGAGGACTGGCTATTTATTTTTCCCCAGGGGGGTGGGGCATGTCAGACCAGGTGGGCAGAAGCTACAGGAAGTCCCAGGGTCCTTGGGTGGGGGCCTGCCAGTGTGTGAGGGCTGTAAGGAAGCCTGGGAGGCAGAAAGGGCAGGGGCAGGCTTCACAGAGGAGGCAAGGGCTCATGGCCTGCGCAGGGGCAGGGTGGGGCAGAAGCCAGGCCTTGAAGAAGATACGGGGCCATCCGCATCAGAGGCAGAGCCCAATGGGCAGGGCTGGGAGGCAGAAAGGAAGGCAGAAGTTCAGTTGCTCCTGGGTTTTCAACCCATGCAGGGAACTGAACGGTGATGCCCTTCCTGAGGTAAGACCCCTCCCTAGTCTTGGCTCCCTGTGCTGGAACCTTCTGTAACAGGGAGATGACCACCATGCCCTGCCCCAGCACCAGGCAGGGTCCAGGCAGGCTTGCACAGGAAAGAGAAAGCAGGGAGCGACAGATCTATGTCAACATCTTGGTAGGGGGCTCCCCGGAGGTAGGGGGCAGGCCAAGGAGCAGGGCAAGGGGCCTCAGGTCTCAGGGCCAGCACCAGGCTCTGCCTGTTCCTCCCCAGTGCACCCACCACAGCTGTTTCTGCCCAGCACCCCTGGCCTGGCTCCCATGCCTGGGTGGGGGCAGGGCTCACGCCTGGAACGCCAGATGTGGGGACAGAACTCTCCGGGTCCCTCCTAGCTGTGCAACACTGAAGGTGTGTCTGCAGACACCTGAGCTGCCAGGAAATATTTTGTGAATGAATAAATGGCCTTGGGCAGATCCAGGAACCTGGCAGAGCCCAGATTCCACACCTGTGGGGTCTGGACAGTGCCCCACCAGGGGTGTGAGGACCAGTGATAGAGGGGATGCACACGCTCACACATAGGAGCATGTAACTCCCCGCCACATGCACGTGCACACATGTGCACCGCAGAGGCCCCCCACAGCCAGGAACTCTTACAGGGCCAGGGCCTGGGCACCTGGGAGAAGAGACTTTGTTGCCCAAAGTGGAGGTTTCCGCCACCCAGTAGCTTGGGGCCTCTGCCCTCGACTTTCCCAACTTTCCTGACAGCTGGTCTCCTAAAAGCAGACCCTGAGGCTCTTCTGTAAACTTTCCACAGCCCCCATGGGTGTTCGTTTTGTAAGTGGGTGGGTCAGAGCTGGGGGTGAGGCAGGTTGTCCTGGGGGCCAGCTGGAGGCCATGTAGGGCTTGGCAGGCCTGAGAAGCTGGGACACACGGTGGCCTCCCCACCCCCCACCCCCAGCCCAGCTGTTGTTTTGATGACTCCGGGGCCAGGCAGATCCTCAGGAGAGTCCTCGTCCTCAATGCCTGGCCAGAGCCCGTCCAACCCTAGGCAGGAGGGGAAGGAAGGCGGCCTCGGACTAGGGGAAGCTCTCCCTGGGCGCCAGGCAGCCAGCCAGGCTCCTGACCGACTGGGCACAGACAACTGGAAAGCCCCGAGGACTCCTGCTGGACCTGAGCCAGCCCAGAGCTAGGCGCTGCCCAAGCCACGAGGGAGCCCTGAGCCCTGACCTTTGGGCGTGTCTGGGCCCTGACCTATGGCTCACAGGTGGAACCTGGCTGGCAGTGCGGTGTACTAGGTCCTTTACAAGGCCTTTCAGCTATTCCTAGATTTGGGACAAATTACAACAAACACATTTTTGATGCACTGTTGGGCTTAAAAGGAAGTAAATATCTCCAAGGCTCCCCAAAATGAAACACCAAAAATAAGTGCATAAATAAACAAATGGAATAGTGAACAGAAACCCGGGATGATGAAGGAAAACAAGTGGGAAAGCAGAGACTTCCCTGAACACAGCACGGAGAGCCACACTGCATCAGGACAAGTGTGGACTTCCTTCCCTGCGGGCTACAGACCAGGACCCGAACAGGGGCCCAGGACGGTCACGCCTCACAAGGGCACCCTCTCTGGAGGGACCAGGTCTCAGAACGTTCACAGGTGTGGGCTGACACTTAACAATTGCAAACATTCAGAGAAACAACGTGCTATGACTGAGAGGCAGCAGAAATGACAAACAACAGAGTTAGAGCCCCAAAGAAAGGGACTGGAATTGTTAGGTACACACTATAAAATAACCATGTGTGAAATGTTCCAGGAGTCAAAGCTGGAACCCAAAACTGAGCACGCACCAAGAGACCGCCAAAATGAGCAGACGGGAATAAGAAGCGGTTGTAACCTTCAGGTATGACGATACGATAATTTAAAGTTAGAGGATGCATTAATCAGCAGATTCGATACAGCCAGTGATTAATGACCCGGAAGAGGGACCTGAGGAAATTGCCAGAATGCAGCAGAGAGACAAGGAGACAGAAAACACAAAAGAGGGATGAACTGACATGAGAGGTAAAGGGAAAACATGCAGCACTCGTGTACCAGGTGTTCCCTGAGAAAGAACAGGGAGAATAAATGAGAGGCAGGACTGAAGCAATAATGGTGGGAGATCTACAGAACTGATGAAAATGTGAATCTATAAAACTGGGAAACGCAGCGGACACCAAATGGATACAGAACAACAGAGCCACAACCAGAAGCATGCTTAAAAGAACAGAACGCAAAAGATGGAAAAGACCTTAAAATTCTCCAGAGAGAACAGACTGGGCCCTTACTCTAAATGCTAATTCCGTTCTCAGGCTGAGCCCTGCGCGCCTGGTTCTCTGGCCGCCGATGGAGTTTTGGAAACATCCAGCGTGGGGTCTCCCAAGCAAATCTCACCACCTCTGGAACTCGCTGGAGGCCCACTGACTGACCAGACAGGGGACTTTCAGAGACTGTCCTCGGGGAGGGCACAGGAGCCCAGGGCAGCCACAGTGGCAGAAGCCGGGAAGGCCGCCTTTCCCAGAGCCTGGCCATGCGCCCGTCTCTGAAAACCATCTCCCTCCTCCCTTGGGGGTCCCAGTCTCCGCAGCTACGGAAACAGCAGGAGCGGAGAGAGGCTGGGGAAGAGCCGACCCGGTCCGGGGGAGGCCGGTGCCACCTCGCGGCCACTCGGAGCACTGCGCACGGAGCTGCGTGGGCCCTGCGATTTCCCACGTTGGGACCTGGACGCAGACCCTGAGTCGCCAGCCTGGAGCCACCTTATGGGGGACACGGGGGGAATTCAGGGGCCTCTGGGATTTGAGGTCTTGGGGTCCTTTGGAGAGGATTCTGGGGTCACACCCAGGCGCAGAGCTGCTCCTCCCCGTCAGGGTGGCGTCGCGCGCGCCCATCGTCTCTGGACACCAGGTGGCGGCGGGGTCCGGGACTGCAAGTCGGGGGCGGCAGCAGCGAGCGGAGGCGTCGGGCCAGGCGGGCGCGGG